AATACTGATAATTAGCTTTCTAGATTTGTTTGTTGCATTAAACTACTTCTTTGAGTTCGTGAATGGTAATTCAATCTTATAATTTATAATTTATATATTATATTGGTTCTTCATTAAAACGGGGATAATGCTATTTCTTCTCTTAAACCAAGTCTCTTGTAGTTTTCATCGCTGGAAAAAGGAGATCAACATACTTAATTGCGATATGGCAATGCAGAGGAGTAGATCAATAGGTTTGGTTTGTTCCATAATATAATAAGCATAAAACCGATTAATTCAATCAGAACCCAACCCAACCAATCTAAGTTGAATTTCCTTTATTAGCTTATTAATGTTTATAAGCTGTATTTACAGAAAATTAAACAAAAAAAAAAAAAACTTTAAAACTATATCATTTTAATAAAACACATTGGAAAAGATTAAATTACTCTTCACTCATACCCTAAAATATCAAATATGTTTATTTCAGGATTTTGCAAGAGAAGTTTATAAAAATGACATAATTTTATGTGTTTTTTATCAAAATTTTTGCAGGTCCAATAGATAAATACTTTCCCATTGTTATTATTATCATTATTATTTAAAATTTTTATAGATTTTGAATATTAAAAATAATAAAATTACCGTTGTCAACAACAAATGTTGTTAATGAATAACTTTTTATTTACATTTACATACCAAAAAAAAATGAATAACTTTTTATTTACATTTACATACAAAACCGCATGTTATTTCACATTTTTGTTTTGAGATTATCCTTACATTGTTGTTTGTTTAACAAAAGCATAAAAATTTTATATGAAAGGAGATTATATCGGGCTGAGTTTTCCAACTTGGAGCTGTTGAAGTTATCTTCAATTGGCATTCATCAAAAACTGACAGAAACAAGCTTTTCGCAATGCCTTTTTGTCTTTAAATACTGAGAATCTCTTTGCAGGTCGAGTTTCCCATGTTGGAATTTTTGAGGCTGTCTTCAATTAACATTAAGGAAATCTGGCACATTTTGAGTAAGCAAATCGCTTCTGTTGAAAACTTAAAGAACTTGTTTGTGGAGGGTTGTGGTAATTTAGAATATCTATTGACATCCTCTATTGTTAAGAGTTTTAAACAACTCATGGTGCTCAAGATTTCTGACTGCAAGATGATGGAAGGGATAATAAAGGAAGAAGAAAGGATGTGCAAGATATCCTTTCCTGAACTGGATACCCTAGAACTTGAAGACCTTCCCAAACTCACAAGATTCTATCTTGGAAACTCCAACGCTACAATAAGTGAGTGCCTTCCTGCTGCCAGTATTGAAGATGCAGAAAATACTTCTATGCCATCTCTCTTCCATGAAAAGGTAAATTCTTCTTTGTTTTTCCCTTTATTTTTCAGTTAGTTACTCCTCATAGATTGTATTTTTAAATTAGATTCTAAAAATTTTTATTCTAATTAAGAATCTCTTTGAAGGTTGAATTTACCAAGTTGAAGTTGTTGAGACTGTCTTCAATTAACATTCAACAAATCTGGCATCTTTCAATTCCAAAAATCCCTTCTTCCGTACAGAATTCGAAAATCTGCCTTCCTGTACATAATTTAAAAAAGTTGTTTGTGGAGGGTTGTCACAAAGTGAAATATCTATTAACTTCCTCTATGGCGATGAGTTTCAAGCAACTCATAATGCTCAAGATTTGTGATTGTGTAATGATGGAAGCGGTAATAGATGCAGAAGAATCAAATGAAGAAACAATTTTCTTCCCTGAACTGCTCAGCATAGAATTCGTAAAACTTCCCAAACTCACAAGATTCTATCATGCAGAAAATAGTGACACACTATCTCTCTTTGATGAAAAGGTGATTTTTCTTTGCCCTTTTTTCCTTTAGTTTTGATTTAGTTTAACCTCATAATAAATTATTTTGTTCTAAAAATTTATTATTCCAACTAAAAATCTCTTTGCAGGTTGGGTTCCCCAAGTTGAAGATTTTAAGCTTGTCTTCAATTGACATTCAGCTAATCTGGCAAATTTCGATTCCAAAAATCTCTTTAGAAAAGCTTTGTGTGAAGGATTGTGGCAATTTGAAATATCTATTATTGTCTTCTATGGTTAAGAGTTTTGAGCAACTCATAGTGCTCAAGATTTGTGACTGCAAGATGATGGAACAGGTAATTGTCTCAAATGAATTAGTGGAAGAAGAAATGATGTGTGAGAGTTTCTTCTCTAAACTGGACACCCTAGAACTTGAACACCTTCCCAAACTTGCAAGATTGTGTCATGGAAATTACTCTCAATTTATTTTCGCCAACCTTAGACGGTTCACCATAAGCAAGTGTGCTGTGTTGAAGACACTTATAGGAGACAATGCTGTCAGTACTGAAAATGTCGAAAATACTTCTACACCATCTCTCTTTGATGAAAAGGTGATGTCTTCTTTGTGTTTTCCCCTTTCATTTACACTTAGTTTCACCTCATAAAGCTCTTAAAATTTTAAATTAGATTCTAAAAACTTATTATTTTATCTTCTTTCTATATGTTCCCTTTCTCTGATTCTCTAGCTGAATTATAGTTGCTAATGCAATTGGATAAAATTTTTAGGTGGAATTCCCCAGATTAGAGCAGGTGATAATCAAGTTTATGGGGAGTTGGTCCAAGATATGGGACAACAAACATGATGTGAATTCTTGTTGCCAACTAAATTCTCTTACTGTGGATTCATGTGAAAAGCTGTTGAATATTTTCCCATTTAGTATGCTGGAAAGAGTACGCCAGAAGCTAGACACACTGGAGATACAGAATTGTGATTCACTAGAAGAGATATTTGGTGCTAGCCAACCGCAAGCTCAGACAACCACTCAGCCAACGAATTTGGTGGACATTGCCGAAAGGTTTCTATTTCCAGAATTGACACACATAAATCTTTCTAAGCTACCCAAACTGAAAGGCTTGGTCCCTGACATGCATATTAATGAATGGCCATCATTGAAACAATTACGGGTGTACGGATGTGAAGTTCGGATATTTGTTTCAAAACTCCCAAGTTTTCTAGGAATAAATGGAGATGACAAACTTCAGATTCAGTGGATAAGCACGGTAAAAGCTCTAATATTCTACACGCACCAAAAAAAAAAAAAAAAAGCCAGTGTAAGATGCACTTGCTTTTGAGTTAAAGCTAATTTTTTTCACTGAACATACTCAAATTGAGTTATACAATTAATGTTTTGCAATTTTATATCCTTCCAGTTGGTTGTTTTGAAAAATCAAGTTTTTTTTTTTTTAAAAAAAATGATAGACCAATCACTGAAAACTTCTCATCATTTGACTGGACTTCTAAAATAACACATTCTTTATTGCA